CCGGGAGCGGCCACTGCACTCCAGTCTGGGTGACAGAGTGAGACTCCAACTCAAAAAAAAAAAAAAGAAAATGGGAAACATAGAACAACCATTTATAGTGATTATATCTGAGGTTCATATCATAAGAGACTTCTGTTTCTAACTTATATATAAGAAAGTATATATATATATGTGTGTACTTTTTGTTTTAGTAGTAGTCTCACTCTGTCATCCAGGCTAGAATATAGTGGCACGCTCACAGCCACTGCAGCCTCGACATGCTGGGCTCAGGCAATCCTTCCACCTCAGCCTTCCAAGTAGCTGGAACTACAGCTACATGCCTGACTAATTCTTTTTTTTTTCTTTGAGGTATTGTAGAGATGAGGTCTCGCCAAGTTGTCCAGGCTGGTCTCAAACCGTTAGGCTCAGGTTCCTCTTGCCTCTGCCTCTCAGAGTGTTAGGATTACAGGAGTGAGCCACCATGCCCGGCCATGAATGCACATACTAATTCTATAATCAGAAGAATCTAAATAAAGAAGTAACCTTTAATGTAATTATAAAATTACTTCAGTATCTGTAACCTAAACTTTGAAGCTTAGGGAAAAACCCAACTTTCTGCACTTACAATTTTAATGAACTAAGTATTTATTTTAATAAAAGCCCTTCCAAAAAAAGTTTAAGTTCTTATGTTAAAGTTTGTGGACGTTACCAATGGGCCAGGGACAGCTCCAGTACCGCACAATAGCCAATACTGGAGTCCACATGCAACTAATTAAATAGATTAGAATTCAAAAAAAATAAAAATTCAGTTCCTCAGTCACACTAGCCATATTTCAGTACTCAGCATCACATGTGACCAGTACTGGATACACATGACTCAGGGCTCATGTACTAGATGGTGCAGATATAGAACATTCTCACTGTCAGAGGAAATTCTTTGGAACAGCAAAATTGCTCTAAAGTCACCTACTAGTGTCAAGGTGATTATTCTTTTTTTTTCTGAGTTGGAGTCTCACCGTGTTGCCCAGGTTGGAGTGCAGTGGCACACTCACGGCCACCGCAGACTCAGCCTGATGGGCTTAGGCGATCCTTCTACCTGTCTTTCAAGTAGCTGGAACCACAGGTATGCACCACCACATCCAGCTAATTTCTTTATTTATTGTAGAGACGAGGCCTCACCAATTTGCCCAGGCTAGTCTCAAACCCCTGAGCTCAGGCAATCCTCTCACCTCGGCCTCCCAAAGTGCTGGGATTACAGGCGTGAGCCACCACATCCAGCAAGGTGATTATTCTTACATAGCACAAAATGAGAAAAGTATATGCAATTTTTTCTGCTAAAACTTAATACAATCTATGGATGCCTATGAAAAAAGGAATTATTGGTGTCAGCTGCACTCTCTTACTTTGAAAAAGTCCCATCATTCTAGAATGCATTTACAATTTTGTTCCTCCAGTGCTCCTCACTCAAAGCCATTGTACAACAAAAAAAGCCTATGCCCTAAATTCACATTGATACTTTGTATAGACTCTTTCTGATTTATTACTGACAAACTATTTTTCCTCATCTGAATAGTTAGGTGAAACAGGTTATATTATTTTAACCATTACCCTTGTAATTTTTTTCCTGGTCTACAAAGCAAGGGTAAAAAAACTTGCCAGGCATGGTGGCTCACACCTGTAATCCCAGCACTTTGAGAGGTGGAGGCGAGAGGATTGCCTGAGCCTGCAGGTTTGAGACCAGCCTGGGCAACTTGGCAAGACTTCATCTCTATAATAAAACAAAAAATTAGCCAGGCGTGGTGGCATGCACTTGTAGTTCCAGTTACATGGAAGGCTGAGATGGAAGGTTCACCTGAGCCCAGTAGTGGCCATGAGCATGCCACTACACTCCAGCCTAGGCAACAGAATGAGACTCCTATTAAAAAAAAAAAAAAAAAAAAAAAAAATATATATATATATATATATATATATATATATATAAAATAGGTCAGACACGGTGGCTAACACCTATAATCCCAGCAATTTGGGAGGCTGAGGTGAGAAGATTACCTGAGCTCATGAGTTAGAGACCAGCCAGTGTAATTTGGTGAGACCTTATCTCTACAATAAATCAAAAAATTAGATGGGCATGGTGGCACATGCCTGTAGTTCCAGCTACTTGGAAGGCTAAGGCAGAAAGATCAGCAGAGCCCAGCAGGTCAAGGCTGCAGTGGCCGTGAGTATGCCATTACACCCCAGCCTGGGCGACAGAGCGAGACTTCAACTCAAAAAAAAAAAAAAAAATACAATAAATCAAAAACTTAGCTGGGCATGGTGGTACATGTCTGTGGTTCCAGTTACTTGGAAGGCGAGGTAAAAGGATCACCTAGGCCCAGCAGGTCGAGGCTGCAATGGCCATGAGCATGCACAGGACTCCAGTCTGGGTGACAGAGTGAGACTCCGACTCAAAAATAAATAAATAAATAAATTAATTAGGAGAACACTTATGGAAAAGGCTGGTCTTTATTTTACTCATTGGTTTTCTCAAATTCTAACTTGAAACAATTCACAAATCCACTTTAAGCTACCAAAGCAAAAAAGAAAGCTCCTAATACACAATGAAAACTTAAAACTTTCAGTAAAAGCCTCAATGAATGTATGGTAAAGTATAAAATTAAGACTCAGGTACGCAATCAAGATATGGTTGTACAACTCCATCTTTCCTGATTTAGGAAACTGATATTGATATATCATTAAAAAGTCAATAGCCACAGAACTCCAAAGAGAACACAGACACTAAATGCTACAGTTGGGTTACATTATTCCATACACAAGCAAAGTGACTGCAAATGTAACTTTTACATACATATGTAAAAATCTCACCAATTTCTCCATCTTGTCCAGGTTTAGGAATGCTAATAGAAGTTTTGGTCTCCATTTCTATTTTCTTCTTAGTATCCCCTCTCTTTCCAACTATATGCCTATAATATAAAGAGAAATTAACAGGAGGGGATAAAATCAAAACATACCAAAACAAAGAATTTCACTATGCTTAAAGCCTTTGTGGCCAGAGATACTCTCTTACAGAAGAGTGCTTTACCAAAAGCTTACTATTTGTAGCGGAAATTATGTCATCTAGCTTTATAGAACATGCTGCATTAAACTTATTAGCAAAATGGCGCCCTATAGCCAATTCAATATATAGTAGAATATCCATGCCTAACACCTTTTTCCTTCTCAAAATTAGATTCAAAAACTGGGTTTGCAGTTCAGTGTGAGGAAAGCTGACATAGTCTCAAAGGGGCATTTCCAGCAACCAACGGGCCTACAAGTTAAGGGGGGAGAACCCTGTCCATTTTGGAAAACAAATGAACTATATTATGAGTTCACCCTAAGAGAAGTATCCTTGATTAATTAAATAAGGGTAATCAACTTAGCAAAGAGCAGGGTTCACCATTCAAAACAGATTCAAAAGCACAGGGAGTAAACTGATAACCCTCAGGCTGAATTTAGCACCCAGAATGTTTTGTTTGGGGGATTTCATCCAAAAATATATAATTTCAGTTTCTTTAGAAAAATAAGATCTGACCAAAGTGAGAACAATGGGCTAGAGACCACTTGCAACTACCTCCTGAAGATGGGACATGAACTCATCCCAATTCCCATCACTCCCATAGTCTTTCACCTACCCCATTTCAATCATTTATTGACTCATGCACTTGCCTGGGCGTCCTAGTATAAATAATTCTGACAATTCAAGGTTACCTTCTAGAACCCATAGTAACTAGATATGTTAAAGTGAACGAGACTATTGGATCCCAAGAGAGAAGTTTCAGAGTCTATAAAGCACAAAGAGACCATCACAGGACTATAAAGTCAAGAGGAAGAACTAACCTCATCTAACCACATTATTTCAACTTATATCAAGTCAATTGCAGTACCCAATACCATGGGTGACTGTATCGAAAACCATTAATTCATTTTTACATGAGATAACCAAGCCTATCTCCATTAAAATCTACTGGAAGCTGGGAACGGTGGCTCAAGCTGGTAATCCCAGCACTTTGAGAGGCCAAGGCGAGAGGAATGCCTGAGTCCAGGTGTTCGAGACCAGTCTGGGCAACTTGGTGAGACCTCGTCTCTACAATAAATTTTTTTTAAAAGGCTGGGTGCAGTGGCTCAGCCTGTAATCTCAGCACTTTAGGAGGCCAAGGTGAGTGGATTGCCTGAGCCTGGGGTTTCAATACCAGTCTGGGCAACTTGATGAGACCTCGTCTCTACAATAAATCACTTGGTGACGTGCGTCTGTAGTTCCAGCTACTTGAAAGGCTGAGGCTGAGCGTGCCACTGCACTCTACCCTGGGTTACAGAGTGAGACCCTGACTCCAAAAAAAAAAATCTATTGTATTTAGTAGTTTTTTTTTTTTTTGAGTCGGAGTCTCACTCTGTTGCCCAGACA